ATGACCCTCGAGATGGTAATGTCCTGGCCCCTGGGGGTTTTATCCCGCCTTGGGCCCAAGTGCCAGGACCCTTTCGGAGTGTCGGGCGTCTTCGGTGTATCTGGCGGACTCCGAGGGCCGTTCTGGAAATAACTTAGGCGCCCTGGCACGGCTGGGAGCGCCCATCCATCAGCAACGCCTCGTCGTGTGTCACCGGCGGGGATTTCAACGCGGCACCGCAGGAGCTTGCCGAGTGCGATTTCGCGGTCAGTATTCAGTTTAGATTGGCTCACCCTGAGGCGCGAGGGACTTGCGCCAACACTTCGGAGCAAGGTCCTCGGTCCCTTCGTCGACAGTTCAAGCCTTGCCGAGGGAATGCTGCGCGAATCTCGAGCTGGAGACGGAGACCGGGCCCCCCGACGGGCCCCCAAAAGGCTCCCAAGAGGCCTCCAAACTACCCCCCAGAGGCCCCCGAGAGCGCTCCTGAGAGACCCCAAGAAGCATCCCTGAGGACTCCGAGCCATGTCAACATCGTCGTCGTCGTCGTCGTCGTCGTCGTCGTCGTCGTCGTCGTCGTCGTCGTCGTCGTCGTCGTCGTCGTCATCGTCGCCGTTCAGGGTCGGCGGCACCAACCGCAAGGCCTCTCCAATCCAGACGCAGGAAGCCCAGACGGAGACCGAGCACCGGGGAGACCAGAAAGCACCGATGGGCAACTGCAGGCCCCGCAGGCCCGTGGCCGTGGAGTTCCGCCCGCAGCTGGCGGATCTCCAAACGTCTCGCGTCTGTCGGGCCACCTTCCCTCCCCGCTGCCCCAGCCATAGGGGCCCCAGCCCTGCCCCCCCCCCATTCGGGGCGAAGTCCATGATTGCGCCGTCGATTCTCGACCCCTCCTCCTCCTCCTCCTCCTCCTCCTCCTCCTTGTCCTCCTCCTCCTCCTCCTCCTCCTCCTTGTCCTCCTCCTCCTTGTCCTCCTCCTCCTTGTCCTCCTCCTCCTTGTCCTCCTCCTCCTCCTCCTCCTCCTCTTCCCTCTTCTTGCGCGTCCCACAGCACAGGTTATCCTTCAATCGGCAGCGAGCTGGCAGACGCCCCATCCATCGATATGTGGACCTGGCGACTCGGTTCCGGGCCAAGGCGTCCGAGGTGGGGCCGGTGGCTTCTCGACGGGCCTCGCGCCCGATTTTTTGGGGGGGCCGCGGGAAGACGCCCAAGTCGAAACGGAGGCCTGTCTTGGAGAGGGATCGCTCTCGGAAGGTCAGGCAGGCAGAGCTGTTCACGATTCAGTGGCTTGACGGCGCGCGCCTATTCTTCTTGTCGCGCGTGGGGGGCGGGCAATTCGGTCGGGCGCGCGCGGCGGCCGCGTCGCTCCTGAGCCCGCCGAAGGAAGTGAAACAGCATCTCCACACGTTTCAGGATAGGGAGTCCATTCGACCAGGACATCGTGACTTTTGTCCAGGAGGGAAACGAGGGCTCTCGAGAGAGTCTCTGCGCCAAGTCCAGGGGGCCGACTTGATGGGTCGGGCCGCGGAGATGATGGGGCCCTTCTCGGGGGCTGCCCTGGCGGAGGCTGCCAAGTCCTGGATGCCTCTGCTGCTTGACGGCGTTGGCGATGCAGGAGAGCACGTCCCCCGGTGGGACAGGTGCCCCAAGGCTTGGGCCCCCGCCGCCGCCCTTTCGGCTTCGGGCCAGGTTCTCTCTAGTCCCAGGAGTTCGCTGGCCACGGGAGTGGCCAGGCACTCGGGGCTCTGGGAGGCCAGGCGTGAGATGGCGGAGGAAGGAGTGGAGTTGCCGCATTTTTCGGCTCTCGAGTTTGACCCCACTGCGATCAGGGCTGTGTCTTCCACGTGCGCTGCAGGGGCGGCGACTAGAATGGGTGGTTTCCACATGAGACGCTTCGCCAGCTTGAGTGACTCCTCCTTGGTGGCCCTCGTGTCCCTCGTCTCCACGATGGAATCCAAGTCCCTCATGCCATCCCAGATGTGCATCGCTCCCATCAACCTTTTGGAGAAGGAGGAGGGGGGCTGGACGCCCATCGGGCTGTTTTCATAGTTTCACAGGTTGTGTGCGCGTGCGTGCGGGGGAAGCTGGGAAACCTAGCGCTGTCGGTCAGATTTTGCAGCAGACGCTCTAGCAGGCGTCGCAGATGTTGTTTGGAAGCAGGCTGCGAGAGCGGAGTTTGCTGGCGGTTCGGGCCACCACTCCGTCGCCATCTTTCGGGATACGCACGAGTTCTACGAAACGATCAGACAAGACCTTGCGTGGCAAATGCTTCAGTAGCTCATGTTTCCTGTTCAGATCTATGCCCAGCATGGTCATGGGCCCAGTTTTCGTCATCAACGTTGTCGCCGCGGGGTGTTCGATGGACGCGAAGTTCGTTGGGGTGGGCGACGTCCTTCCGCTCAATCTGTTGCCCCCTGGGCCCCGCGGTTCGCTCGACACCTGCATCGATGATTCTGGCTTTAGTGGGGCGGGGGCCGGGGGCCAGATTGTCGAGCTTGCGGTTGACGGGGCCAGGGGGCTTCATTCGGTCACATACCACGGAGGAAATCCTGTGTATATTTCTCTCGACAAAGCTGTCATCGCCGCGTCTTCGCAGGAAGTGGGCGCTAGGAGTCGCAAGCCTTTTGGGGGGGATCGGGGGGGGGGCTGGCACCGCTGCTGGGGGGGCGACGGCTGGGTCGAGCTGGGGGGTTTCCGGGAGGGCGAAGAGATCTCGCAAGAGAGTCCAGGCCAAGTTTCAAGCCAGGCAGCTTCTTCTCCAGAGGCGGCGGCAGAGGTTCAAGCGTTGCAAGAAGATTCCAGGCAGGCGCGCTCGGGGGGCTTTCGTCTCGGGCCCCTTGGCAGGGGCCATCTTTGGCATCGAGGTTCGCGGCGCCTCGGATGAAGAACTGCGCGTGTTTCGCCGGGCTACTTGTTCGGCTATGGAGCCATCCGCGGGGATTAGATCTTTCTCGCGCCTGCTGTTGTTGGAGTCGGGCCCGACGTGGTTCGCGGCCGCGGCGCCGATCCTCAGGTGCAGCAGAAAGGTCCAGGCTACTCAAGTTAAGTTGTTTAGGCACTGGCTCTCATTCCAGGAGCTCCGGGGGTCTTGGGGGGCTGCGTTCGGGGAAGACGTCTTGGATGCTATGTGGGTGTCTATTCGGGGGCCCCTTGAGGCCGTGAGGCTTTCCCTGAAAAGGATTGGGTGATCCGCGAGTCTTGCCCCGCGCTCAGGTTGATTGGCGAGGAGGTATGCCTTGCCTTTTTCGGCCCAAGGGTGGTTGAGGGATTCCTGCATCATGGAGTCCCCAGGCAGTTGGAGCGTGAAATCTGCATCAAGTTCGGCGTGGGCAGGCTGCGTGGATGCCGCAGCCTCAAAATTGCGGTTGCGTCGGCATTCGTATTTGGCTGGTGACGCGATCCAAGCTCTGGCGCGGGATGCTCTCTGGCCTTCAGATCGAGCGATCTCTCTCTTCGGTGCAGGTGGGCTAACGCCAGAATCGCCCAGGGCTTCAACGCCCCAGGCAGCCGTCGAAAGCTCCCAGATAGCACGTTCATAAGCGGACCCGCCCATGAAGAGGTGCCCCTGGATCGGCGAGGGCCCACTGCCATCGCTGTGCCAAGTGACAAACGCCCCGTCCTTAATTAGCCATAAGGCGTGGCCACCATTCCCTAGGATGCGAAAACAGCCCCCTGGCCAAAGCAACCTCTGCTGGGGGTCGGACAAATCGGCGTCAGCACCCTTTAAACCATACGCGCTGACCAACGTTCTGCTCCCTCTCCTCGCGGCAGCGCGGGCGCAATCGCAGTCTATGCACGAGGGGTTCATCGACTTCTTGGCACAGCTCGCGTGTTTGTTTGGGGTCCCGTGCTTTTCCCCAACTTCAGGCCTCTGAGGCCAGTGAATCTGCTGCCCTGTATGCTTCTGAGTTGTCTCTCGACGTGCCCGGCCAGGGCGTCTCTGACAGTTCCAATGTGGTTAAAGCGTTCGTGGCGCCCCTGGCCGCTCAGCTGTCTCATCGTAGGCCGCGTGCGGGCATGTTCCTTAACGGAAGCAGCCCCGTTTAGAAGTCTGTCCCCAAAATTAAAGCCCAGGGGGGGGCCTTTTTGCCTTCGTGGCCCCGCCTGGGCATTTCTCAGTATGAATGGGCGCCCACTGCCGAACCGAAGCCACCCGAGCCCGTGGGGGCCGTTCATCAATTGTTTTGGTTTCGGGTTATCTGGCGGTGCGAGTTCTGTCTTCGTTTCCGCAGGTCCGCGGAGAAGCCTGTGGAGAAAGGTGGTTCAGGGCCCCCTCCTCCCGAATTGGAGGGGACTTCTCAGCTGGGTCATTCTGCAAGCGCTCAGTTGTTCTCGCCGTTTTTGTTTTGTTTTAAGGTTGATTTGTGTATCCTGTAAAGCGTGCGCTGCGTTTGGGCAGGCACATGATCTTCTCAAGCCCTGCAAACGTTTGGACATGAGGACGGGGGCAGGCATAGATGCAAGCTGCCGCTGGAGGGGGATCCAGCGAGACGTCCATCCGAAGCTGGACGAGGTCTCAGTCGAGTTGTTACCCCTGCTCGGAGAGGACGACAGTTTTTGGAGTGTGAGGGGTCCGTTGGAATCGCGGCCCATCGCAATGCGGAGAAGTTGCCTCCTGTGGAGCAGTTTCGAATGGTCCTGGAGTCTCTGCGTGAAAAGGAGGACAACGCTCCTCTCGCGCAAGCTGCTCGCGTTGGTTCCGTTTATTCGGGGGACTCGGACTAGCGTTTTTTTTGTTCTGGGCCTCCTGGGGCGTCTTGAAGCTAAGTCATCGCTGGAGGTTTTCAGAGGCGTGCAGGCGATCCGACAATCGGGTAGGCCGACCTGCTCGCCACAGGTGGGAGGACACCTGGGGTGCGAATGTCAATCAAATCCTCCTCCCTCTCATCGTCCTCCTCCTTATCCTTCTCCTCCTCCGTTTCCTCCTCCTCCTCCCTCTCGCATCCCTGCCTCCTCCCTCCTGCTGGCTGCAGATCCTGCGGTGGCGACCCTTGCTTACGCAGGGAGCCCCCTTCCCCCGCCAGGACGGGCGCCCGGGAGGGAGCCAACAGCTACTGTGGCAGCTCCGAGGACGAAGGGAGCGCAAAGCGGCCGGGCGGGAGGTGTGGGTCATGTTGGATTATGTTGTGCCGCGCTAGGAGCCACGCTTGCACGAAATCCTGGTGAGGTGAATTGCTCGAGGAGTAGCTTGCGACGCTGGGCCCCGTCTCCATCCGCATGATTTTTCGCACCATGCGGCCCTGCCTCCATTCGTGCCCAATCCAAATCGTGTAGCTGAACGGGTAGTCGGTGGCTGCGCCGTTGGCTACCCCAGATGTTAATCAGGAGGGGCACATATACACAAAGACGCAAACATGTTCGCCAGCGTGGACCCCACGCAACGTGTCTATTCACATATATTGTGTGCGTTGTTCGTGGAACAACCCAGGTGGTGCAATCTACGTGGTGCAAGCGATGGTGAGCGATGTACTTTGTGCAGTATATGCTGCGCATATAGCTTGTGCAATGTGCGTTGTGCCATCGATGTGAAGTAATACGCGTGCTTCAATAGATGTGCCGTATACCTCTCTCTAATTATATTTGTGTGTGTGGTGCAATGTGTTTGGTGCAATCGAACTGTGAAATATGTGCGGTGCGTTCTATGTTGTGCAATTCACTCGTGGAATTCGCAGTGGTCAATCCCGCTGGTCGCGCAATCATCCCACCCACCCACCCGCAACTTGTTTTGCAAAAAAATGGGGCGGCGATTTCGATGCGTGCTTGGTTCTGGCTGGTTCATGAGTTTGGCGCGACCGACGCGGCCGCGGTGGCGCTGACCTCTGGGCACATCCCAGCGGGCATTCCAGTGCGAGTCGGCCACTTGGGTGGGCGCGGTATCGTGGCAACTTCGGCAACGGTAGACACGAGGATGGTAGTAACTACGTTGGTGACGATAGTGGCAGCGGCGACGGCACGGCCAGTGACAGCGCCGATGCTGATCACGCCGACGACGATGACGGCGTCCTCGCGTCGGTGATGAAAGTTCCGGAGAAAGTTCGACATGCACGCGCGGCCGACGCGCGAGACACGGACCGTGCCCCCCAGCACGCGCGCAAGGGCGTTCGAATGATGCCGACATGCGGCGCGAAAGGCCGGCTTGGCCGAAGTCAATGGAAGTTGTGAACAACCAGTGGTTTCTTTGAAAACTCGCAAGAGCGCGAGCGCAGTTTCTTTGAGAACGGATGTTGCAAAACCACGTGTTCTTATATGTAGTCGGGGCACTCGGTTTCCACATCCTTACGAAACCGCCGGTTTTTTGAAGGATTTGGGTCGAATCTGGGCATGCGCGCGCAACGACGCGCGCGTGCGCATTTCGTCCCATTGTTTGCAAGGGGTTATTGCGATAGCACGCGCGCAAGGGTTTTCGAACGATTTCCACATGCAAGCGCGAGTGGCCTCTTTGGTAATATTTCACGGACGTGTTAATAACCGATGAGTTTGTCAATTTGGACCGCGCGGGCAGATTGATTGGAAAGTGTGTGCTTGTTGTCGGGGTACTCGGTGTTGAATCATGCCCTACGCAACCTAAAGATGAACAATGATTTCGGCATGCGCCCGCGACGACGCGCGTGTGCGCACTTCGGCATTTGTTGTAATTGGTTGTCGAACACTTTTGATTGTTCATGCACGAGTGCGCGCACATAGTATGTTGTGCAGAGGATGAGAGGGGGTGGGGGCGTTACCGGCTGGCGTGGCATCATATTAACTCATGATGGGGACGGACGATGGGGACGGATCGTGTGTAACTTGCAACACGAAAAGATGAGCGGTTCAATCCGGGGGCGGGTATATACAAACGATCTTAATCTTATAGAAAGTGGAATCGACGTGGGGCAAATCATGTCGTAAATTTCACCTGGCCGAACATGATGTTTTCAACACCATTGTTCGCGCAATCATCCCACCCACCAGCCCGCAACTCGGTTTGCAAAACTAATGCGGTGGCGATAGCGATGGATGCTTCGCGTTGGCTGGTGCACATCGGCCAGCTAGTTTTCGCGCGACCGACGCGGCCGCATCGGCGCTGACCGCTGCGGGTTTCCCGCCGATGCTGCTCACGCCGATGACGATGATGGTGTCCACGTGTCGGCGATGAAGGAAATGGATTGGTTTCGGCAGGGGCGCGCGGCTGGCGCGCGCGAGTGGTCCACAACATTGTATGTTTGACTGGGATATTGCCCCCCCCTTGAAAGCACAGAGGGGCGTTCGAATGGTTCCGACATGCGCGCGCGAGGCCCGCTGAGTTGCATGTCGTGTACATGTTGGGGCGTTATTTTCGGGAGAATTTGCAAGAGCAGCGCGCGCGCATATTGAACAAAGCGTGTTGGAAAATAAAGCACCAACAGCGTTTTGCATGTTTTCGGGGAACTCGATTTTGATGTCCTTACGCAACGTAGGGTTTTCCGAGATTCGCGGCATGCCCGCAGTGAAAGGGGTCCTAGTGGATCTTGAAGGATTTTACGAAAGTGGGCAGCCGATTTCGGTAGGCCACCATGTTCCCGGGTTCCCGGTTCCAGGTTCCCGGGTTCTTGGTTCCGGTTTCTTGGTTTCCGGGTTCCAGGTTCCGCGTTCCCGAATGCTGGGTTCCCGGGTTCCCGGTTCTTGGTTTTTGGGTTGCCGTTTTTGGGTTTTTGGTCCCCAGGTTCCCGGTTCTGCATTCTTGATTGCTGCGGAGTTCCCGATTAGAGATTCGACCTGAATCCATCGATTTCGCGCAATCGGTATCATTCAATCGATCTTACTCAATTGATTTCACTCAATCGCATCCCTTATCGATCTCACGCAAGCGATCACATTCAATTGATATCACGATCGAGCCCTTATCGATAACGATATCGATCCCAGTATCGATCTCGTTATCGATCTCGCCACCGATCGCAGTATGAAACTCATTGTCGATCTCACGATCGTTTTCATACTCACGCAATGGCCCCCGCTATCTCTCTCAGTCTTTAGGGCCTCTTCGGGCCGCTTACCAAATTTTCAAAACATTCACTGGTTGGGGTTTTTCTTCGGAGTAAGAATTACCCTTGGGGGTCCTGATACTTCCGAGGGGGGGGGGTAAGTCCCAAATTCTTTTTGAGAACAGAACTTGCTGATGCAATCGTGGTGGGGCAATCTTTATGCTGCCATGGATTTTTCTTGCAGTGATATGTCACTACCGCTGCTCGCAAAATCGCCCCACCCACCCACCCACCCTCGCTTGCAAAACTCATGCGGCGGCGATTGCAATGAGTGCTCGGCGCTGGCTGGTGCATCGGTGCGGCCGCGCCACCGCGCGCAGGCTCGCGCGCAGAGCGGTCAGCTAGTCTGGCGTGACCGGCGCGGCCGCGGTGGCGCTGACCGCTGGGTATTCCCCAGCGCGTCTCGTAGGCCGCGCTGACGTGCGGGCACTTCAGTGCGCGTCGGTGGCCCCGGCGGGCGCGTTATCATGGCGACGCCGGCAACGGCAGACACGATGCTGATTGTAGCGATGCGGGCGGCGATGGTGACGATGACGACAGCAAGGCTCATGACAGCGCCGATTCTGATCACGCTGGTGACGATGATGGTGTCCACGCGTCGGCGGTGAAGGTTTCGGAAGGATTTCGACATGCGCGCGTGGCCGACAGTCGGAATGGCCCGCTTGGTTTTTGGACAGGGAACGTGCCCCCCCCCCCCCTCCCTATCATGCGCGCCATGGCGTTCGAGTGGGTCTGACACGCACGTTTGAGAGGCTCGCGTGGTCGCCCGGCAAATTCGCAAATAGTGCGTTTGTTGAGGCGGCATGTTGCAAAACCGCTGTGGTTGTGTAAGTACATATCGGTATATATGTTTAATATCCATATCCTTCGGGAGTTTTGATCTTGAAGCCGTTACGGCGTTTTTTGGGTATTGTTGGAAGGATTCCAGCAGACGCGCGCGACGCCGTGCGCGTGTGAAATTTGTCTAGCTTCTGTGGCATGAGCTTTTACATAACTGATGGGGTTTGATAATGAAGTGCGCGCGTAGTATTAATCTCCGCGTTTCGCGCATCCCCACCAGCCCGTCCACAAACCAAACCCATGAGAGCCGACGGGGAAAAGGAACGACGAGACCCGTGCAGTGAAACAGAGCGGGCAACCAGGGTGAACGAGATCTCTGGGAGCAAAGGGTCGGCCTTGGAGGCCCTCTTGGGGCCATCAATGGAGCCTGCGTGGGGGCAAGGGAAGCAGGAGGAGAAGGAGGAGGAGGAGGAGGAGGAGGAGGAGGAAAAAGTCGACGACGACGATTTTGACGACCACGATGGGGCACGGGATATGAAACCGATGGGGGCAAAGACGAAGACGAGAACAAGGAGGATGAGGAGGACAACCAGGACGAGGACAACACCATCAAAATCGTGTCTTGGAGCCCTCTTGGGACTCTTTTGGGGGATCGTGGGGTCCTCTGGAGGCTGTTTCGGGGGGCCTTGGGGCCCTCCTGGGGCTCTCTTGGAACCCTCTTGGGGGCCCCGTGGGAGCCCTGGACTGCCTCTTTGGGCCATCTTGGAGACCATCGGTTAAAGAATGTGGGGGGGGCCGATGCTGCCCCCCCCGTGCGGCCATCAAGATCGCCTCTTGGGGCGCTCTTGGGGCGCTCTTGGGCCGACCTGAAGCGCTCTTGGAGCCGTCTGGGGGCCCTCTTGGGCCATTGTGGGGCCATCTTGAGGCCCCAAAGAGCGCACCGGAAACGAAACGGCGAGACGGCACGACTCATGAATTCGCCTGAGGTTTTTGTTAAAAGGGTCTGGGCCTCTTAGGGGGTCCTGAGGGGGCTGCGAAAGCATTTGGAAGCGTCTTGTGGCCCTCGTCGGCCCTGTTGGAGGTATGGCGGAACCTATCTTGAGCAATCGCCGGCTATCTTGAGTCATTTTGGAGGCCATCTTGGGGCATAGGAGGCGCTCTTGGAGCCATCTTGGGCCATTCTCGGACGCTCGAACGATTCGCGGCCCGCCCCGAAGAACCTCAAGGAGAGGGGGGGGGATCATGGAAGGGAAACGGTTTTTGGAAGAGAAGAGAAGGAATTCGTCA